CCCAGGATGCCCCGCAGCCCCGGGACGCGCCTCAAACCAGCCAAGTACATCCCCGTGGCCACCGCCGCCGCGCTGCTGATCGGCTCCAGCACCCTGTTCTTCGTGTTCACGTGAGTCCGCCGCGTCGCCGGGGGCGCAGGGGCCACAGCCCGACCAGAGGGGTAGGGACCAGGGGCAGGGACCCGGTCCAGAGGGCTGGGCAGGACAGGGCTGGCACCAGGGGTTTGGGCAGCGTGAGCCCGCACCCTGGGCTGAGGCTGAGGCCGTGAAGGTGCCTATCCTGGGCACCAGGAAAAGGTGAGTCCTGTGTGCGGGGACACCCGTGCCCCGTGGGCACCTAATGAGTGTGCCAGGCAGGCCCTGGGTGTGAGCCGCTGGGCCTGGACAGGAGAGTGTGTGCAGTGGCTGCCCAGGGTGTGGCTGCAGCCCTCCACCCCCCACAGGCTTCAGGAGGGACGTGGGCTGCCCAGAGCCACCAGCCCTTCCTGCAAGGAGTTGAGGATGTCTTGGGTCCCCTCTCCTGGCTGTCGGGCCAGGGGCCAGAGCCCAGTTGTTCCTGAGTAGGTGTGGTCTAGCCCATCTGCCACGTGCCTGCCCCACGGCCCCCAGTGACCCTGGCGTGGCAGCACCCTGCTCCCTTCCTTGACCTTCATAGGAAAGCCTAGTGATCGCAGCTGGAGGGCCCAGGCCAGGCCACACCCAGGGACACTGGCCATGGCCCATGGCGGGCTTTGGAACCCTGGAGGCGGAAGGCAGGCCGGGCTCTGGGCTTTTGCAGCTTTAGACACCGGCTGGCTCACAGATCCGAGTGGTGCTGGCGATGCAGCTCCCTCCGTGGTCATGCCCCTCCCCGCCCCCCAGGTCTCCTTCTGGCACAAGGAGGGATTGGGGGCCCCAGACTTCAGCCATGCGGGTCTGCCACCACCCCCTTCCACAGGTCCCAGGCTTAGTTAGTCACAGCTCTGGGGACCAAAGCAACCTGGGAACCTGAAGCCAGTGGGACCTCTGTTCAAAGGCAGGTCAGCCCCCGGGAGAGAGTGAATCGGAGGCGGGGTGGGCAGGGGCCGGCATGGCCCCCTTTCACATTAGCCAGAGCGAGCGTGGCTGCTGCCTTGTGCTCGTGGCTGCCTTGTGCTCGGTGGGTCTGCACTGGGTGTCTGTGGGGGCGGGAGAGCCCTCTACCTGGACTCCGGAGCTGGGTAGGTGCCACCGGCTGCCAAGAGTGTGTTTAAAAAAGGCCTGTGTGGACGGGCTTATTCCTGGCTTTGGTGAGCAGGCGGATTCGTGTCACTCAGAAGCTGCTGCCTGTGGGGCAGAG